CCTAGGGATGTCCCGATCCCTCTCCTCCGGTATCCCGGAGTAGTCTTTGGTGTCTTTTGGGCGACGGGTGTATCTCTGGAAGCCACCTTTTAACGGATTCCCCGGGGGTGTGGCTGAAGGAGGTAATCTTTGTGGCGGATATCCCGGGCCGCCCTCCTCTTTTGTCCACCGAGTGTTAGCTCGCAGATGTGAGGTTGCTATCCCGGATTGCGGTTTACCTGCAATGAAGGTCAGGGTATGGCACGGGTTCCATGCTGCTCCTGCGCTAACTAGCGGTGGTCGAGTTCCCTCTTGGCGCGGAGGGAGAATTTCTTTCTGGCCTTCATTCCTCCTAGGAACTATCCCTACCCCGTCCCCCCCTTTTTTTTTCTTTTTTTTATTTTTATATTTTCTTCCTTTTTTTCTTTCCTTTTTTTTTTCTTAAAAAAAACAAAAAGAAAGAAGTAACCTAACCATGCATCCCTAGTCCATGAACCTGGTTACCCCGCCCAGGCCCCCTTCTTGATACCTGCCCCCCGTTCTGACCCCCGCCTCGTCCCTTTGGACCACTCTTCATACATTCTCATGTGCCTTCTGTACCTATTGCCGGTGCAGTTTCCCTTCACCCGCTTCAGTACGGAGGGCCTCGACTGACTCCTTCGATTTATCAGACCTTCGCTCTCCTCTGACTATGCATCATCCGGCCATCTCCCTCTACAGGTGCTCAATTTTCAAATCGCCGACCCGGTCCACGTCGACCACTCTGTGTCCCACGCCTAAACGTCAACGACAATTACCTGCTGATGATACTTCCTCCACCTTCCACCTTCTCAGTTCTGCTCAGAAACGATCGACACTCTTCTCTACCTATCCCTTTTCCACGCTCAGTTTTCCAGACTGAACAGTGACTAAATTCTTCACTTTAAAATCGACCAACTTCCTCTACTAACTGCCTATCTTTCTGACCATAGTAATTGGCAAGGCACTCCTACGCCGGTTGTTGGTAAAGATATTTCTTTTCATGCTCTTAAGGAGCGGTATGGCGCATCATTAACCATACAGAAAAGCAAACCCAGTCTCGTGAAGCCTCTCTCGCTTTTTCCCATAATAGATACTGTTTCCAGTCAACCCTTGAGAAAAACCATCATTCCCTCCAATTCTGGTAGTGGTAACCGTTTTATCCTGCGCCCCATACACCATAGTTCAACAAAATTTTCCAAACCATGTGGCACCGACATTCTAAACAGCTGGAACTCCCCAAGATCTCACCCCAATCCACTCAAGGTAGAAACACTTTACTTCTCCTGCCCTGGGCGGAGACGATAACCATAGCAAAAGTGGCTTCGTTTAAACTTTTGACATGCTGATAACTCCCCTCCTCCGTTTATCATAGAAGGACATCGGTTACAAGTTCGAAAAGGTGATCCCTACAACCACAACAGTGAGAAATTGCTGGCGAGGATTTTGTGCCATTCCAGCGAAATATTGCAGATCTAAACCTAACAAATCTATCGCACGAATGCCCAGTCTGTGGTGCGATGACCATTCAATACGTCTTGCAATCGATCTCCCATCTTGCCTTAACTGTCATGAAGGCTCACCCTTCGTACTCTCGCCCGTTGTCAGATCTATTTAAAAACGAGCGGAAATCCGTTACCAACCCTCAAAGAGACAGAAGGTCTCCCTTATGCCATGGCAGTTCTCATCTCCCACCGCCTCCAAGGGAGACTCCCTACGTGTTTCTATCCCGTGTTTCTAAAACGCCCCCCACATCTGGAATCCATCCCATCTCTACAAAAAACCCACCGTCTGTTGTTTACTCTCTCATAAACACTCCTTTATCTAATTCCTTTTGCTGTCCCTCTCCTCGGCCTTCAGACGTCCCTACTTTCAACGGCCTCAGTCTAATCTCGCTTCTCTTCGAGTTCTCTCTTACAAGCCTCATATCGACGAGACCTCGTACTACACCTCTTCCCAATCGTCCCTCTACTTCTCAAAGCCAAAAAAAGGTCCGGTAACACCTTTACCCACCCCATCTTCCACCTCTCCTCATTTTAACCCTCCCTGTCTCTGTCCCAGTCTTCCCCTCTTTCACATCGGCTCATTACAAGTTGCAGAGGTTCACCTTCACCCTCCTCCTCGTAATGTACCTTCCTCCCCTGTTCCCACTCCCAGTTTCTTCCTCGTCTACTCTGCCACCTCCCAGGTGTCCTGTCTCTCTGTCCCCTGCCAACGCTTCTCAGTTCCCCCCACCCTTTCGCCCCCCCCTACCCCTCGGTACGTCCAATACCAGATCCCAATCTTTACTCTCCTCCCCCTACCATTCCAATATAGTCTCCCATTAAAGACATCTCTGAATTCCGAAACACATGAAGAATCTCTGAATATATTGCCAGAGACCAAACCATCAATGGACACTGATCCACCTTCCGCACTTTCTCTCACTCTCCTCTGCTCCATCTGCGCAACTCCTTTCTTTCACAGCGCAACCGTTCCTCCTTCGCCTTGCTTGAAAACATTTCCACTGCCTCCGCAAGTGACTTTTCTAACCCTTTAGTCCGTAGAAACCCTTAATACCTAGTGGATTTTTTTCAAAGTACTTTATCATTGCCAATCATGGCCTTTTTACAGTGAAATACGGGCCTCAGGGTAATAATCGGGTGAGCTTCAGATGTTACTCTCCCAGTTTGCCCTGTTTGGGTGTTTTGCTTACAGGAACCAAAATTACACTCTGCTGTTATTTCTCACATCTCAGGCTATAATTTATTGTATATTCTTTCCTTCAGATCCTTTTCCTGAAATGGGACCTTTTAATGAAAGTGCCCTTCTTCTCTTCTCCGCTCCCCCCAACTGACTTTCCGTACCATCAACTATTTTATTTCATACTTCGCTGCATTACGCACAGCAGCCCGATCCACTTACATAGGTGTATAACGCTCTGTTCTTTATATCTCTCTCCTCAACTCCTTCCTCTCGGCATTATCCTATTCCGATTTAGGCCTTTCCTTTTTCGTCATTACCCCACCGAGTCTGTTTACTTTGGTGGATTTTAATGCCCACCATTTCCTTCCTCTGGGGAGGTCTCACTGTGATTCCCGTGGAATTGCAGTTAGAGGCTTTTTCTTGCCACCCACCCCCTCCAAGTTTTTAAATACAGGTACTCCAAACCCATTTTGATCCTCGACTCATACTCTCTCTTGCATCGATCTCTCATTTGCTCTTCCTCCTTTCCTCCGCCGCATTAACTTTACTTGTCTGTTCTCCCCGGACTTACATGACAGTGATCATTTCCCTATCATTCTTACTTCCCCCTTCATAGTTCGCCACCCTCCATCTTCGCACCCCACGCTGGCAATTTAATAAAATATCGGGCAAATTGGAACCTTACCTCACACCTGACTGTTTTTAAAGAGGTTCCTTCTTTCGTCCTCCTCCATCTATGAGCTTTTATACACCTCTTTCTCTCGTCCTCCTTTTCACCGCAGCTTCTCATTCTTACCCCCCCAATCTTCGGGTCAGGCATTACTCAGAAATGGCGTGCCTTGGAGGTCACCTGCTTGTGCATCGGGCAGTACGTTATGAAGCGCGCTGCATGGGGCAGTACCCGGTACAATAGAACCTCAGAGCGACACCTTGATTTTAAAACAGAACGTGCGAATCGCTCGCCGTGTCATCCGTGACGCTAAAAAACGCACTTGCTGGCGAGGTTAAATGTCTCACACCATCACCTCTGCTTCCTCTATGATTGCAGTCAGTCTGGAAAAAAGTACGAAGGACTGAGTTGAAAATATTCTCCAAGACCCGGCTCCTGTTCTGCGGGTTGCCGGTGTTTTGATATAGCAAACCCACTAGATGTTGCCTAATGAAGATTGGCAATCATCTGGTCCGTATTTCTCAGGGACTCCATCTATGTCCCTCATTTTCTTCCCTCAAAGTATGCAGAGAGTTTTAGGCACCCTTGACTTTTTCTTCTCTCAAGAAGAACCGTATAATGTGCCTTTTACTTTACAACTTCAAGAACAGGAGGCAACACTCTCAGCTTGTCGATCATCGGCAGCCTGGGCCCTACGACATTCATATACCGTAGCTACAACATTTACATCATCAGCCCTTGCAGTCCCTATTACGCCTTTACAATCTTATTTGGTCACAATGATTCTTCCACAGCTGTGGAAATCCGCCATTGTTCTCCCTTTCCCCTCCCGCAAACCAGGCACTACGGGACAATAACCTCCCACTATCGTCCCATTGCTCTTAATTAATACCAGTGCAGTTTGCAAATAATTGAACGTCAGTAAATAGACTTAAGTGTGGTATTAGAGACACACAACAGTCCTCTCCAACTCGTCAATATGGCTTTCGTAAGGGGGGACTTCTACCATAGACCCCTTACAGCGCTGGAACGTATGTTCTAAAAGCTTTGCTAATAACCCTCAGTTCTTGCTTCATATTTTTTGACCTTGAGAAGGCAAATGCCCACAAACTTTGGGTATAATATTTTAGCCCATGTAGCTCACTCCCTTAGGCCCATCGAGGCAATCTACATCCTTCCTTAAAACTTTTTAACTGACAGGCATTTCCGTGTTCGGGTTTAATAATGTGCTCCACCCCTCGGACTTTTCCAAGCTGAAAGGTGTCCCCCCATGGATTGTACTGAGCACAACACTTTTTCCTCCCTCCTAGCTATTAATGATTTGGCCTCTAGTTCCTTCCCATCAAATATTTTGGGTCATCACTCGATGTTGATGACTTCGCTATTGCCTGTGCAGGCGCTGACTGTCCACCTCCTTACAGTTTCTCTCCAGCATCAGTTCGAGAACCCCGGTTTACCAATTGGCCACCACACATTGGTTTAAATATTTATCCAGCAGCTAAAACCCACCAAATCACTTTCCACTAGACGCCCTGTCATCTCCTGATCATCTTTGTACCTCTATGGCTTCAACGTATCCCTGAACGTGATAGTCAAGTTTCTGTGCCTCCCTTTGAGTCGTAGGTTATCCTGGAAACCTCACAATTACCCTCCTGAAGGCAACTGTCACAGCTTTCTGAACCTTCTTAAAACCCTTGCTCATCCTATCGTGGGGACTGGATCGTCGAAACCCTTCCTTCACCATCTTCCATCCACCCTATTTTTTATCGAAACTTGATTAAGGTGACCAGATCTATTCAGCGGCATCTCCTTCTACCTCTCTAGCATTAACCCCATTCCATCACCAAGGATTACGTTTATATGCCTAGGTTGCTTTTTCGCCTCTTCCCCTGTCGAAAGCCTTCTATCAGAAGCAACGTTCCATCCTTATTCCGATCGCGTGATGGCCCCATAGCTGCGCTACTATGTAACGCTCTCATGATCTCTCACGCAATCCTTCCATTTATAGAATGGTCCATCTGATAATTAGTTAGACATTCTTTATTTGTTCGGCTCGGCCCCAGCTAACTTCCGACCCTTCTCTCTTCGCCTTCATTCGCTCTTGTCTTCTCATCAACTACCAACCTTTCTATGTACATGTAGCATCTCACTTTTTTTGTTTTTTTTACCCTACCCCCCCCTGGGAAGTTCCAGCTGTTCGAGTCTGTTCTTTCCTCCCTCCCTTGCACGAAAGCCCAACAGGCTACGTCACTTTCCCGCTCTCTTTCCCTCTTGACCACTTTCACTCTCTTCTCATGCCTTTGCTGTGTACACAGATGGCTCTAAGGTCTTCTGACGGGCGTAGGATTCCCGCTAGCAGTGTTTCCGGACAAAGCGTCGCACAAGGGCATTTACTATCTTCAGCTAGTATTTTTTATTTAACTGCTGAATTATATGCCATCCTTACACACTTATCCGTATATTGCATACTATGCCTGTGTCATCATTGTGTGGTTGACTCATACTCCCTTAGTGCTTTACAGGCTATACAAAATTTGATACAACCTCACCCCTTAGACCTTCCTCCGTATCCAACTTTGGCTACGCCCGCATCATTTCCTAAGCATAAAGATATTGTTTTTTTCTGTTGGGTCCCTGACATGTTGACTACAGGTCAATGAACAGGCAGACACTGCTGCGCGGGTCACCAGCAGTACATAACCTACCAGTTTCTAATAGAGGTATTCCATGTACGGACTATTTTGCTGTAATAATCTTCCCACCTTCACACACACCCGTTTGGCAACAACGTTGGTCTAAACTTATGCTCGGCAACAAACTTCAGTCCATTAAACCGAGTATAGGTTCCTGGCCGTCTTCTATCAACCAGTGTCGAGGTTGGGAGACTATCTCTCTCCCCTCACTCTCTACCGTCTCGCATTGGCCCTAAACTCGTCTTACTCCATGGGATATCTCATGGAGAGTCGTCATGCTCCTCTCTTGAGAATTGCCAAGCTCCATATCAGTCAGCCACATTCTTTGACTGCCCACTTTATCCAACGAGCAACAAGCAGAATTTACCTCTGTCGTCGTCTTCGGCCCCGCTGCTCTCTCTCTTTACCTTCCCTTCTCCGCTGATGGACCCCACCTTTCATTCCGGACTCTCTCATTGACTTTTGACAACGCCTGCCTGACATCACAAATTCTGATTACTTTCACGGCCCTTTTCTACTTGTATCTCTTGCTAACCCTCTACCCCCGTACTATCCCCCATTCCCCGCAGTTTTCTGTAACCTGCTGATCATTCCCCCCTCCCTTCTTCCATCCAATTCCCTTGCTTCCTTCCCTACCCCCTGCCCAGCGCTGTATACCCTTGTGGCTTACGCTGTCTTTTTGATTATAAATAATAATCTACCCATATGTTATGTATGATAATCTATTTAAAGTATTTTGTGTACAACCTGAATAAACTTGCATACATAAGAAAGAATAATTTCTACAGTAACCCCCAGTAACACATTCTCTATGTTAAGATTAGAGAAAATGTTATTCTTGGCATCACTTGTACAAGTTATTTTGGCTACCAACAACTCATATATGTTTATTTATTCTTATTGTAGGGTGTATTTATCATCTTTTTATGTTTATGTATCAGTGTTTAATTATATAATTTTGAAAAAAAATAACAACTGACGATAATGAAAATGTGGTATATTAAACGTAATATACAACAATTAATGAGACTTCGGTGATTATTATATCAATTTCTAATATTGCGTCACTTGTGCAAGTCCGTCTGCTTAACCACTATCTCCTATTGTGTTTATTTATTCTATTGGTGGGGTGTATTTATCTATTTCAGTTAATGTATCGAGTTTATTATATTAATTTTTGAAAAAATATCATATATGATTAATGAAATGTGTATATTAACGTTATATACGCCATTAAATGAAATCGATGATTTATTAACATTAACATGTACTAATAAGACGTCAAGAGACATAAGAACACTCTTACTGATTTTAATGTGTACCTGCATACCCAGCACAGTATTAAGTTTATTATTAAGAACATGTATAACAATGAAGTATAATAATCAGAGTAATATATAAAAATAAGAAATAACTTTTAATAACATTTGAAATTATGGGAGTTTCACCATACAAAATGGAGAGACTTTAGTGCTTTACTGAGCTCACGAAGAAATGTAAAACAAACAGGGTGGGGCGTGGTGACCGTATTATAAAGTCAGGTGGGGGGAGCCGTATAATAGCGAGTTTTGGTCCATAAATTGAAATGACCATATTAGCGGAATGCCGTAAATGAAACGTGACGTACCGTAAAGCGGGGCCCTGCTGTATGACTGAACGAGTTTAGTGCATTCCAACCCCAAGTACAATCATTAGAAAGTTTTTTTAATCATATAATCAGTGTTGACAATCCTATGATATCAGTCTTTTTTTTCCTGCAGTCTGCATCCCCCTCCTCACCAGAAGATAGTTATTACTCTCTAATAGAATAAATACCTTACACTGGCATTGGAATTTAATCTGTAGTATTGTATGCTTTTGTATTTTCTTTTCTTTGTTATTGACATAGGGTAGTTTATTTCATTATGGGTGTTTGAATATGGTCTCTTCCTAGATCGTGCCTTTCTCTTCCTAAGTGAACTCAGTATTGTTTATCATAACAATAGCACTCTAAGCTTTAATGATTCAAAGTGCATTTTATACAGTAGATTATTTGCTCAAGGGTTTGCTAAATCATATAAGACATAAGGAGAACACTGCAGTAGGCCTGTTGGTACATACTAGGCAGGTCCTTCACAAATCCATTCCAACTAATGAGAATAATTTGCCCTCGTAGAACATAAAGAACGGAACACTTCCCAAACAGGCCTACTGGTCTATGCAAAGGGCCCCGCTCCAATTCTTCTCCACCACGCGGCTTAAGCCAGATGGAGAAATGACCTAGTGAAGGTCAGACATGTCACTTCAGGGAGAGCAACTGCAAACTGACCTAATAGCACAAGTACGATAAAAGCACCAAATAGCCGAGAGAACGGTTGAAGTTTTTTTTATTATGTAAAATTCCTGGAATGCCAAACAGAAAAATTTATGATAATGTACACTTCTTTCACCAAACCGGCCATATAAACCCACTGAAGCAGGTGGTCCATAAGGAAAAACGAAAGTTTCTCTTTTTAACATATGACATGCATGCTTATGAGGAAGAATTCTGTTCCACTTCCCCATGGAGATGATGGAAATAAAAAAAGAACTAGCAAGAAAATAGAAAACCTATAGGGGTGGTACAGGCCAGATTAAGAAGTCCTCTCGGCCCTAGGCTATTCAGATTGGGCGGGGCCCCTTTGTAGTCATGGTAAGCGAAGCGACCCCTTTCCAGCTTGGGGGTGGGGGGGTGGGGACGTGTGAGCCTTTTTTAAGGTCAAATTTAAAATACTTTTCTGGCTATTAATTTAAAATTTAATAGGGAAAAGTACTAAAGACAACCAAAACCCTTTTACCAAAGCCATTATAACTATCTTGTTAAAACATCATTTTAAAGAGAAAACTCAAGACAGCATGTATTACTAGATTGGGCTAAAAAGTAGTGGACATGTACACTAGTGGGATAAAAACCCCTACAGCAATTTATTCCCTTTATAAACCCTGACCCTTATCATCATTGATCTGCATAAGACTATCAAATCATATAAACCAAAAAGAAAAAAATTGTTTATATTTAAAGGGACTCTTAAATAAACTTTTTTTTTGGATTTCATATTGGCAAAATCAGTTATATTTTAAAAACAATATTTTTTTGTTGATCAACTCAAGGTCAAAAAGGCTAGGGTTACACAATTTTCTTGGCTCATTGTTGAACGGGCTGGTTTTTCACTTTTTCAAAACAAAAATGAACGTTCTCCTTTGCAGTTAGTAGCTGGAAGTGTTTGGGAAAAGGGAAAACACTGTCAAAATTAGGGAAGGTTTCGAATACCGCATTTTTTAAATATTTCAAAGCAGCTGAGGGGCACTTTTTCAGGTGGGCTTTAATCGATTAATACCCCGAAAAATGAACTATTTCTTCAACAAATGTGTCCTGAACATCTGCTGAAAGGTGTTGTTGCAACTTTAATGCAGCTCTCAATTCTGCATCTGGCATAGTAGTAATTTTGAATAGAAATCCAAACTTGTTATTGAGATTCTGGTAGATTTCTTTTCACCAATTCTGTAATCAGTGAATCCAGAATGACGAAGTATGTAGCTGTCTTACATTTCTGCCTTGGTAGCAACACAATTTCATTGTCTGGCTCTTCAAAATTGCATTTCCTCTTCCTTGACCGCTGATGATCTGCCTGGTAACTGTAGTCTTTCACCAGCAGTTGAGCTTTCTCTTCAAACATTTCAAAAGCTTCATCATTGCGAAGTGAGCTTACAAATTCCACTAAGCCTGCATAGAGGTTAGCACAAGTAGCCATTTCAATTTTCTGAAGTGTCTTGTTCGTGGCATTTAACCGTTCCAGTATACAGTCCCAAAGCACACAGAGTAAGGCCAATTCAAAATCTTCCAATTTTGATGCTAAGCTGGCTGTTTCGCTTCTTGTAGTTGCTGTCTGGTCTTCATCCTCTGCTATTTGGATCAAAGCAGAATGTATTTCAGCAAAGCTGTCTTTCAAAGCATGTGTTGCATCATGCTGCGCTGACCACCTTGTTGTTG